TTATCTCCCCTTGTAGATATATTCCAAAATTGTACATTTTGGGAATCTCATATTTCCAAAATTGGAAACATTGTTCTTGAATATGTCATGCTTCTTGCATATTTCATGCAATTCGAACAGTAACTGTTTGACTCATGCTTCTACTTTTAACACATCCTTGCACTTTGCTATTGCTAGAAGACTCTGAAAATTTACTTAGGTAAATAGGTAAATACAGTTTTAGCACACAGCAAATGCTTATATGTATTTCTTATGCAACAATGAAGTTCTGTCCAGTATTCTCAAAATAGTGTCGGCCCATAGGTTTTCACATGCAATACAGCAATTAATACTCCCTTGTTGTAACCCGTGTTAGGTGGTATAAACCTACACATGTCATTTGTCATCATTCACTTGATGGTCAGTTAATGAATTTATAACAGGTATAATTGGTGGTAACACCACTTAGATAACCCGACAAATGTTCCCATTTTGCATTTCTTGTGTCTGGAGTAAATACTCAACATTATAAACATCGATCAAACGATTAACCCATACTTTTATCTTACACAGCGGATTTGTCAAAGGTAGTGTTTGTGTATGTAGATTTACTAATCTATACTGAATACACTCTGTCGGTTCAGTAAAACAACTTCCTTCTTTCCAAGGATTAACCGCCAAGACATAGATTCTCATTATTGGCTAACTAAATTAATTTTTGTAAAGAATGGGACATTATGCAATTAGTTCCCAGGTATGCTATCTTTGGTGACCAATGAGACTATATACCAATGTGAGATACCTGAAACGATATATCACTTTTCGTGAAACATGTATTAGACTGTTAAAAGACACATCATTTGGAACTGCTGCAAGTGAATGGTATATCACTCATTTTGTGGATATTGATGGATACATTCCTTGAACAAAGTAATCGCCTGACATTGTTCTTATAACTCTAATCTGTTTTAATTTTAATAATTGCATTTTGGTTTTTTCATTTTTCGGTAGCATTCCACAGAATCATTGTTTTAAATTAAGGAAGTAATGACAACATACACTAGGGCGCAGCTAATTATGATTTACATTGGCAAACTATAAAATGTCTAGATATTCCAGTTATAAGTATAGGCAGATCGCCTGATTTTTATTTAGTTTCAAAATGCATACAAGTATGATAATAAACAAATTAGGATAATAAGACCAAATATAAAGACGACGTTGACTAGTAGCTACATACTGGTGAGTGGACGTTTTTACCGATGAATGTAGCAAGAAATTTATTGGGCAGTATTGTCACTTCCTCGCCTTCGAGGAAGAAATCGTTATGTTACAAGTTGTGTCATGCCAAATCCTGTTGGCCATTTCTCAAATACATGTTTAACTTCTGAGTAGAAAGTAGTTTCGATTTTCTAACTTGATGAAAACAAACCATAATCTCATTAATTCTTTAACAGACTTTAGCCCGTGATGTTACGATTATTAAAATACATCCGCCAGTCTGAGAATAAATGCTATTTAGGTTGGTTTTCACCGAAGTTACAAAATCAAAACTACTTTCTACTGGTAGTAAAATCTGTATTTGATTGATGTCAAATAGGATTTTTGAATGACATATCTTATAACATAACAATTTCTCGTGGAAGCCGAGGTGGGTGTCAATATAATACTACTTACACAATATTATTGCCACTTCCACCACAACCTCGCTTCCGAGAAAGAAATCGTTATGCTTCAAGTTGTGTCATGGGAAATCTTTTTGGTCATCAATCATATATTTATTGTACTAATACTAGTAGGTTGTTTTGATTCTTTAACTGCTGAATGGCAATCTGAACATATTTAAGATATCGTTCCAAGCTTCCACAAGCCGCTAAAGACTCACAAACATAACCCATCTAGCACGAACTACGGGTCCGGTGGAAGTTAGTGCATGGTGACACCATCACTTTCGACCCCTAGGAGGGCAACGCAAGCGACTGATGGCAATAGCGATTGATGGCAGCGAACGATTCGTTTTGCCTCAAGTAGGTTTCAGTTGTTCAGACCATCCTTTAATGTTGGAATATGGGCTTAAAAGTAAATATAAAACAACATGAGCGATTCTGCCCTCTGTGTATTGTACTTACCATTGAATCAGAGTACCAATTCTTTATTAAATGTTCATTTTACTGTGATCTGAGAAACAGCCTGCTACAACAATACTACATAAATAATCCATGTGAAACTAAATTTATCAACTTATTATTGTCTTCCAATTCTACAACTGTTAACAATCTTGCTAAGTTTATATTTTTGCATTGACAAAAGAGCGAAGTTGTCGAATATAGAGTATAAGGTTAAATAAGACATTGTACATGTAAACATACAGCTTAATATTATATATGGCTGGATTGTATTGTTATCTTCATAATTGTATAACGGGTCGGTGGCCCTTGTACGTAAATTAACTCTCACTCACTAGATATAAGCTACGATGACACATACCTAAACTAACGCGTGACAAAATTCACTTTTCACCTAAAACATTGAACATTTAAAATGTGTTCACCACTGCAATTTCGACTAGTCAAAAGTCGATTATCCTTTCGTTAACCCCTTAAACAATCATTACTAAAACAACACCAAACATCAAAGACTACCGCCAGTCGCCTTAACGACCCCATGAAAGACTCATGCCGCCCCATGCCACTATTGCAATTAGCCCATGCAGAACAATAATTTACCATCACCCACCAGTTATCTCCCCTTGCGGATATTTCCAAGATTGGAAATTTTTGGAAACATCATCTTTCCAAAATTGGAAAGTCTTGGAAACATCATCTTTCCAAAATTGGAAATGTCTTGGAAACATCATCTTTCCAAGACATTTCCAAGCTTGGAAAGATGGATTTTTTTTCCAGTGTTGACTCCTGAGACTTTCAAGGACTTCAGTCCTGACCCACAACAAAGCACATGTGATACGTGGTCTCATCTCAGGCAAGAGAGGACTTCAACTTGTTCGAAATTGCCTCTGTTCGCCCAGCAGGAAATGGGTACCTGGTGGGAAAAGTCATGTGACTATTAACTTTTTAGTGCCTCACAGGATGCTTGGGTTATCCCGGGTGATAATAATCAGATTGTAGTGCTTTGAGAGTGCCCCTCAGTGGTGCCTTTATTATTATGTTTTACAGATTAAAGGTTCGGGTGATCCTGGCACCGTAAGTCAGGCTGGTAAGGCTCATCATCAGCTCAAGACCCTTGCCCCCTCTACACGCAGCCCAGACAGCGAATGGGACTTCTCCCAGGAAACGCTGACTAGTCGAACCCACCAAGAACTTTCCGGAGAATATGAAGGCTCCCCAACACTGCAGCCTTCTGCATTACCCAGAGTGTCAGAAAGGCTGTGCTCCTGGTGGAGAACCCGGGCACTCTCTGCGCCAAGAGATAAGGAGGTACCAAACCAAGGGCACCGAAATCAATGGGGAGCCTGGCGACAGTGTACTTGGGATGCAAGCGAGACATTTCAAAGGCGAGGTCCGCATATTTATCATGCTTTTCCTGAATCTTGCCTATCACATTGGTGTCAATAGGGACAGAAAAGTCAATGATATAAATCAATTCATTGGCTATAACATCTCTTGTTTCTGTACTTAATGATTTGGTGGACCATGATGTAATTCTTGGTTAATGATGGTGTCACTTCCACAAATGGCACATTTGATAACGTCATTGATACAGTCACTTCCATGTCAGTTCCGGTCTGTATTTCATCCACTCCAGGAAGACAAAGTGTTATCCCAGCTTGGATATGACTCGCTTCTAAGTTTACAGCTGTACTGCCTCCAACACTGCAGGGCTGTCAGACACAGCTCAGGTCAACATCAATGTCCAATGTGAGTATATCTTATGTGTGATAATGAGTTATCATAAAAACCAGACCTCCTGTGAGTAATGATAACACAGCAGACTGCATACTGAAATCCTGAGTGGGTTTCAGCATTATTCAAAAACACCATACAGTGCACTCTGTCTAATTCGGACCAGTTTGGGACCGACTAAAAAGTCCGAATTATACAGTAGTCCGAAGTACACAGATTTTAATGGAGTTATCTCCTTTCAAAATCAGACATAATTCTATCTGACTTATGATTCATATATTAAATCTATCACATTTCACAATGTCTGAAAACACTTAATAAATTTTAATTTATCATATATTATCAGCAGAATTAAAATTATAAAGGCAATGTTATTGAAAACAACGATTCTCGGACACCTGCTTCGGCAGCGGGTCCACAATAACATTGTCAAAGAGCAAAGTAATGATGTTTCGAGGAATTCATTAAATAAATTGAATAAACTAATGAAAAAAATCAACAACAACATTCATAAAAGTTGTCAAACGTACATATAAAATTACTATTTCCATCTTTTTGTGCGATCATGTAATGTAAGTCAAGTCACTAGCAAGTGACACATCTGGGCTCTCGCTCGCCGCCTCAATCTTCACGCTCGGACACGTAATGTAATGTTAAAAACAAAACTTCACAATTTGACATCAGATTTGTTCAGCAATATTGCAGCTATCCTGTCTGTAAATAATCAAGAAATGACCAGACGATCCAGTGATTGACATAATGTACTCAGCAATATTCCAGCTATATGGCAGCAGTCTGTAGATAATCGTGTCCATGATTTGTCTTACAACCTATGCGAACTTCTTATGCCATACAAGCAGCTTTTATTTGGATACTTTTCAGATATTAGGATCAGCACATACAAGCAAAAAGTGACAATTTACCCAACCAAAGCATGTGCTGATACATTTGGCATGATGTTGTTATTGTCATTAGTATGACGTTAACTAATTTACAAGAGTATTGGATATAACAGGTGTAAGGCATTCTGAGAATTATGCCCTCTTTAGCCATTTGGCTTCTGATTTCATCCATTTGAAAGATATATAGTAAATAAAAAGAGTAACTGATTGCAAAATGAATCATAAGTTATTGGTACTGCAACTGCCTGCACATAGTTACCTGCCCTTTCAGCTGATTCATATATGTCATTCTTCATTTCTGCAAAAAAACAAAGGTGTAAATGATTATAAACCATTGGTCCCTGCTTTCTCTGAAAATTAAGATTTATGTACCGGTAACTCACGGTTACTGAGGGTAGCTCTGAGTATAAATAAAGTAGCTGGAAGTTTCTGAACAGAAGCCTAACTCTACTTAGCATTCAGAAGCAAATGAATTATAATAATAAACACTGTTCACAAAATGTTACTTACAAGAACAGCTGTTATTGCTTCAAATAGTGGCAAACAATAATGGCTTCCACTATTCCGCAGGGCTGTGTATTGGAAAATAAATTGTACAATGCAGGCTGTCTTAACTGGCACTCGTTGGGACTGAAGAAATAATCCGGTTTAATTAACAGAGTGCCGGAACTGAATGAGTTTTGTCACTCTCATATCACATGGTTCTCTCATCTACTGCACACACTGACAATAAAAGACAAAGACTTAACATCCCTCATGAGTGACAATTTTCACTAGTTACATGTAAAAGTATACCCATATTGAACTAAGATTAAGTTATCTTTGTCGGCACCCATGTAGTTTCAATGCAGGATTAATTGGTGACAATACACATCCGTCCGACTCCTCGCCATGCGCCAGATAAGACAGTGCTGGGATTTTATGCTTCCAAAGCATAACGCAATATACCGGCATAGCAGTCCTACTACTCGGCGACACTACATGTAGCCATTGAAAGCTTTGTCTAATAGCAGCAAAAGTTAACAGGGAAACATTGCATTTGTGACAATCAATACATATGCCGAATGCTTGGTAGTGACATGATATTTTGTCACACGAAATGTCATAAACACTGTTTGAAATGTTTGAGTCCAATCCAGATCAAAATAGATCATCTGTTGATGTTACTATTTCCAAATACAATTCACAGTTTCGAATTCTGCAGGAAATTTCCTGTTTCCTGATACCATCCACTATTATTTTAGACAAAGCTCAAGTGCTGAAAATTAGGCTTCATCGAAAATGTCGCCATTTTTGACACAGAACGAAATCGCGGTTTACAGCGTTATTTCATGTATGTTTTGAAATGTGAAATCGGATAATTACTGGGAGTATTGAATTTAAAAAATAACATATTAATGAACACTGATATCACTTTTACATGAAATCGCTAATGATAATTCTGAAACGTTGCCGATGAATCTAGAATCGGTTGGGATGTTTTCGAAAATACACTTACACGAACGCCGTAGAGCGCTTTCCGCCATATTGGATAGTGTTTACAAAATCACTTTTCGCGAAGGCCGGTATTGAGATGCCTATTACATCACGTATATTTCATATTTAGCTTCGAAAAGTGCATCACTGAATTCCCCATACTTTTTAGAATAAAATTACAACTGGTCTTTGTCACCAATACTAACTGTCCAGATAAAATGAGACGAAACACATTGGGTGTGAAAACAAACGCTGTGCTCGAAAGACTGCGCTGGTTCGAAATGTAAACAAAGACAATTTCCGATTTTACACTGCGTAGCATTTTCTGAAATTTTCCAACATTCATCCGTCTATTCATTGCTTGCAAAGGCTCAATACCTTTGGAATATGCATGGAAAGAGTATCGTACTAAGAAATAGGAAATTATAAATAGATACAATGCAATGATTTGATAATTCATAAGAAATTGTCAACGTTTCCGTGCAGCGTGACGCCATGACTGACGCAAATTCACGCAGAACGACAAGTGTAATTATCAGCATTTCTGGCTTCTTCTCTTACTTACAATGAAAACGATAAGAACATATAACAATACACAGATAGTCAGAATCATTCTGATTACTTACATGTCATATTTATGTACAAACGATCACTGAATCAATGAAAGGGTCCTCGCAAAATCCTGTGTATCCTTGTCAGCAAAGCCGCCATTTTGTAAGAAATAGGTCATCGGTAGTGATGTCATACGTCAACATTGTTGTACATATTAGGCAATTTCTTTGAGGTGAAGGTCGGTTGAACAAGAGTAAACACAATCGCCCAATCCTTCCGATTACACTGTCAGTATTATGATGTATATTTTGCGGATAGTTCAGATACTTTTTCATGAAACTGACCTCAGTATCTACATTTAGCCTTGTCCAATATCATATCATGCGTGCATATAGGGTTTACGGTGTTTTATTCTTTGAAAGTTTTTGATTGTTTGAATAATATTTACATAAGAAAATGACACATTACATACCTGTCAACTCTGACGCATTTGGCGTGAGTCTCACGCTTTATTGATAAATGTCACGCTCTCACGTCTCCAAATAATAATCTCACGCATATCTGGTAGCCAAAAATAATTTCAAAATTAATACGCATTTTCGTTCGTTTTTGCGTAAAGTTCAACATTGAAAGAACGCCTGAATGAACGAAGTACTACAACGATGTTTATGGGAATGATTCGGCTTATCATTATTAATTAGCATGCATCTTTTAGTGTCAAAATAATGCCACCAGAAGGCTCCAAATGCTCCTGAAAATCACTAAACTTCATTTTTGGGGGCGGGGGGCTTCGTCCCCAAAAGACCCCCCACCAGGGCGTCGCCCTCGACATGACCAGGGACCTCTGGCCCCTGGACCCCGGCTTATTTTCTTCAGTCTCACTCCAAACCATCTTTAGGGGTTGACAGCTCTGCATTTAGTGCAGTGCATTCTATTCTAAACCTTTACACAAGTGTTAGAAGATTGAACGTAGCCATAACTGCAATTACTTTAGTTCCTATGATGTACAATATTCAATGCATTTGAACTAATATTGCAGTTTGACATGAACAGGTTAATGAACGGCGATTTGATTAAACCTTATAAGTAAAACTGATAATATTTAATGAAAATGATTTATGTATGTTATGAAATGTATATGCAAACACATTTAAAGGAATTGTCTTGTTCTTTGCACATTTTTTTGTCGTTTTATAGAGAAAACCATGATGTATATTGATTGGCCAGGTGCTGTTTGTAGGAAACGTTTTATGATTCACTATCATTGTTTTCGATAATATAATCAATTCATATTCGATTTAAAAATATTGTGATGACAGGATATCAAACTCTAACTATATTTATACGAAAATTGTTTTAAAATATATAAACCGTGTCATGTCTTAATTTGAACATGTCTTACATCCATATTCTAATATATAGTACGTACTAGATCCATATATAAAAAGCTATCTTTTTTGCATCTTCCATTGCATACTTATGAAGAGAAATAGCAACATAATCATAAATAAAGAAAATTCTTATCCTAAACAAAATATTCGGGTTGTGAAATGTTATTTTTCATTTACGTTAAATTGATTCCAAACAGGTGCGCGTGTTGCTCATGATAAGATACACAGTCAAACTGTCTAATTGTTGATATATTCAGGACACTATTTAAATGGAAAAAACAGTCATTTTATGTTTTGTCTAAAGAGTGTTAATTCTGACAAAGAAGCCGAGACCTTTCACACAATTAATGGAAATTAGGTGAGATATATACTAATCAGCATACCAATGTCGTCTTTTTCCGACATCGCTAAATGCACAAAACAAGCAATGACGTCAACTAAAATGTTGTAATATTTTCAGCAATTTCATTACATTTGAAGATATGGCTAGTACTCTGGTAATAACGATGCAAAATTAGTCAAAATACACCTACACAAACAGGAGAATATGGGAATCTAAGAACTAACTTATGTATCGGATAGGGCCATCCAAATCATTATTACGTGCTTTCACATGTAGTACGTTGTCATCTTTTCTTATAATTGTGAAACTACCAAAGCGTATCCGCTCTTATTGGGGAACTTTGAATTCGAATAGTTTGGTTCACCGTGAACAAAAAATAACGAAAATATATCGTCCGTATCCACAACAAATACTCTCCATGTGACCTAAGTGACATTGACCTAGTGTTACGCATAACGGAGATATGCCCCCTTATCATTATACGTGTATGACCTCTCTGTCGTCGTTTGACGTCGTAGAAGAAAATCCATTTTTGACATTTATTGCGAGTCATTTTTAATGTTGAGCGCATAATGTTATGCATAACCCCATAAATCCAATTCATATACACTTATGTCATTCAGATATCATGCTGTATTTTCTTCGCTCACACTTTCCATAAAGATGCCAAAATAAAAAATTCGTAGCACAGTGCTTTTATTGGTGCGCGATAAAAAGCGTAGAAATTTACTGTTTTTTAACGCATAACAAAAATTTGGACAACATTTAGAAAGGTCTATTTCTCAAACCGCCGAGGTAGTTGCACTTATATTTATACCAACGATTAGGAAATTTAATATTCTACATTTCTGTGTGATTTTATAGCCTTACGTAGATCCGGGACCACGCGAGCGCAATTCTCGCACAACGTTCACTTGTCAAAGCGTGTGGAAATGTGCCCCTGAAAAAAACTCGGCATCAAGGGGGTTAATGATGAGACCCAAGACAATCTGGGTGCCGTTCCACTAACCAATCTTATCTAAGATCAATCTTAGCAAGTTACGCCATTTTTACAATCGTCTTAGAAAAAAGTTACACCCGTTCCACTAACCGATCTTAGGCCCATCGTAGCCGGTCCCGATCTTACGATCCGATCCAAGCTTAGATCGAGACTCTTTCGTGCAAGAGATAGAGGAATGCGAGGCACGAGTTATCTCCCTTTGCATAGTCTAGCAAACGATAGAAAGTAGTTTACGAAGTGAGTTTAGATTTACGCCGCACTCAGCAATAGTCCAGCTATATGGCGGCGGTCTGTAAATAATCTACCTAAGATGCATAGCGTTCACTAACATGAGCGTTCATGTTAGTGAACGCTATGTATCTTAGGTATAAATAATCGAGTCTGGACCAGATAATCCAATGATCAACAGCATGAGCATCGATCTGCGCAAATGGGAACCGAATACATGTGTCAACCAAGTCAGCGAGCCTGACCTCCCGATCCCGTTAGTGGCCTCTTACGACAGGCATGGGTTATTGAAGTTCAATATTCTAACC